ACAATTTATTATTTCTCCCATCTCATTTGTCTCGACACGTTTTACATGCATGAGAAATCAGTTTAGATTTGAAGTGGTTTTTGTCATATCATTAAACTCGGACTACTTGAAAACATGATAAGGAACTTGTAAAACTGACAGAGTTCAGTGATGTAGCAGTTAAAATGTATAATAAGAGTAAAGCACTCGATAACCGATAAACAGGATCTGTCGTTTCTTGTCTCTTCTTCAGAAAAATAAACAACAGTAGACCAATAAAGCAAATAGAAATTCAGTTCCAGGGAAGAGAGCTTTATATATCCTTCCCTTGAACTACGCGGTCTAAAAATATTTAAAAACAGATGACCTAATCGGCTGCGAAATTCTCAAGTGTGTGTTGTGGGAAAGCCTGTACGTGTGTGGCAGAAAGTGAAACAAAGCAAAGCACAGCAAAAAAGCCAGAATGACAGAGAGTCAATTGTGCAACAATTAACTGTCACATATTGCTCTTGGCTGTCCTTCCTCATCGCCGCGAGACGCAGCTTGCTAACGCAGATTAGGGCCAACTGAATGACAGAAGGTGAGGTTCACATCAAGGTGCTTATATAACTGATGCTGGCAAAACTCCCAGCAGAATCCTCTGAGTAGCGCAGACGCTTCAGCCTTTTAAAACATGCTGTCGTCTCATTGAGCCCATTTGCAAAACATCTACATGCACTGCAGCTGTGCACAAGAACAATTCATCAAATTTTCCAGGTTTTGTCAGATTACAACAGCAAATCTCACTGTATGTTGTTCACAACTGCAAATGTAAAGAAAAGGAGATGTATACAAGGTTTTAAAACTGCCTATAAAGAGAAATATTTAAATATTTGAAATGTAAAGGTCTGCAGAATATGCCAATTGTTTAATTTGATTGATTGTCAGAATAATCAAAAGAATAATCAGTAACTAAAATAATAGTTTGATGCTATGTTCTGCGGTCTCTAACGGGTTTTCTTCCAGGTTGCTGAAGAACAGCGCCCTCACAGCGTGGTGCTGCCGCCATCATAGCGTGGTGCTGCCACCATCCCGCTTCTCTTTGAGGATGGCATTTTTAAATGTTTTAGCTTTTTAATGTCTTTTTAGTTTTTCACCACATCGTTTCACGTGTTCCAATTTCAGCTTCATTTGAGCGGAGTACTCCCATCTACTCCTCTGAACGACTTGTGGCAAACTGCAAACGCTGGTCTAACGGTAATGTCTTGGGAGGATTGGCGCTTCCATTATTATTCCGTTTATGCATGATGGTTTGAAGTGATTTATATTGTAGCCTAACTGTGCTCTAGACGGACTGATCTGGTGTGTTCCTGTGTTCTTGTGATGCTGCTTGTTTCTGGGTAAATGAGTGAAAGGGGCTGAATCTTAAACCAGATATATTTTACTTTTAAAGACAATTCAAAAACATGGGTCATTTTACCACCAGGTAAAGTTTACATGCTATCTTTACAGTCTTGCGTTTGAATACTTTTAACTAATCTCATCTATTTGAACCAAGATACTCCTTCACTTGCCTAGCTATCCTTCTTTTCAACATATTCCTGTTTATGAGGCCCCACTTCAACATTTTGAGGGAAAGTGACAATCACTATCAACATGTATAATTTCCATAAGAGGAACTAAATTCTCATGTTTTTAAAGTCATGTTTGTTTTTCTTTCAGAGAGGGAATTCCCAGAGTCTGATGACACAATCACTCCCATCTACAACCGACTCTTGCATCTCTTAGCTTTTTTTAAAAAAAGATGCTTCATTATTTGTTTAAATAACACCAACATATCTGATGAATAGCGTCAGAGAAAAACAAGCAGAGGATCCTGCATCAGCTGAGAAAATGTAACCAAAACCGGTTTAGGCGCTGCTGTGTGAACAACACAAACAGCTTGAGTTCATCAGATAGAGAATCCTTCACACGTTCAGCTCCGGAACGCTGCATTCGTAACAGAAGGTGTCTTACTAGTCTGAGTGGGAAGAGACATTTTCCAAATGTGCCCCAAGAACTGCTTCATCAGTTGATCAGCTCACAAATTTGCACTGCTTTTCTGAAAAATTAGCTTTGTACCAACAGCCCCCCCCAAAAAAAGCAATTATTGTTGATGAAACCATTTAACTATATCTATGTGCATTTGCTTCTAATGCGATATTGCAAACAACCTGTTAACTCTCATAGAAATCTTTTTCATTGACATGATTGTCAACAAATCTAAAAGTCGAAAAAAAAAAAAGCAAAAGGGAAAAAAAAAAGAAACAAAAAACAACACAGGCCTAAAAGGCCTGTTGTGCAACGTAGGTTTGTGAAGGAAGATGCGTGTTGTTTGGACCCCTTTTAAGATGTTTGTGCTGTTCGTGCGGCAACTGGCAGGCAGAAAATGGAACAGAAAAACAGGAAGACAACACACAGCTTTCAGAACACATTAAAGATCATGCAAACCAGACCAATTGCACTGAACGATCTCATAAAACTGCTGCTTTTATGTTGTTTTACACAAGATACAAGTCTCCATTAGACTCCACAAAACAGTTCAAGTCATTTGGTCTTTGACTGGGCCATTCTGCCACTTAAAAATAGTTTAATCAAAGCCATAACTCTGGTTACTCTGATCAGGTCCCAACCATGGACCTTTTGTCAGCCTCTCTCAATAATGCTGTTTTTGTCGAAGTGCACCGATTGCAGTTTTCTCGTCAATCCCCGATATTTAAAAAGCCTGATCTGCTTTTTAAATAATGCTTCAGAAATTGGTATTTTGGCAGATACCAATTTTTTTGTAACTTACAATATCAGGTGTTATAAGGTCACTCTACACTTGCGAACATAGCAACAAAGTTGCTGAGCTGGCAACAGAGGTTTGACTATAGTTACCTGTGGATGTGACCCGGTGGGCGGTTTGCTGCATCTCTCTCACAGCAGAGCAAAAGAGGCCAGGGGTGGATTTTCATGTTTTTTTGCACCAGTAGATAAGATCAGATGATAAGATTGATTTTACATGCAGGTACTGGCCAATCGTTGCTCTACCAGAATTCAAGAAATTGGAGTTTATTTGGACAGTCACATTTTTGTAAGCCTCTCAGTTTTTCCACATTCCTTGTATTTTCAGATGGTGGCTTCAACAGCGCTCCATAAGAAGTTGGAAGGTAATTTTCAAAATTACTTTTCTACCTTACCACTTAAACTTCTTTCAATGGTAAATAATTTTACCATTTAAACTTCTTTATAGTTTGACCTCTGTTGTCCTCTAAAAAACCTTTGAGGCCTTCTCAGAATTGCTGGAAATATAAACTCAGATTAAATGAAATAAAAATTGGTTTTGTTTACTAACCGGGTGACTTCTGAAGGCAATTGATTGTATTTAGTTTTTTTTAAGAGTATCAAATTTAACAGAAACTGAACACATATAAATGACACATATTAACTGGAAATAATACAAGTTAAATCTTTCTTCTTTCAAGTAACTTCAAAGTGTGTCTCATAAATACTGTTAGTTTTGCTGTGATGAAAGTATGTCTCATGTTTTTCTTAGCTTGATCCTGGAGGCACAAACATGCTGGTAGATGTTATTTTTGCCTAGAAAGCAATGCTCTAGATTTTCAGAGAAGGACATGCTTAAATAGTTGCCCATTTTAAACCTTCTCTATTTAGATTTCAGACGTGTGAATGAAGATGCATTCAGATAATGAAGGTGGTCAGTCAGAACTTCACAGAAAAAGGAACGAGATATTTCTGTGAAAGCAGAGCTTTATAACAACAAGTACCGAACATGATGACATGATGACAAGTACACACTATGATGACTTATGCAGTTGTCATCATAACTAAAACATTCCCCTCCAATCGTCAAGTCATAGCCTGCCAGCTACAAGCAATACAGTTCAAGAAGAGTAGAAGGACCTTGCTAATTGGCAAATATGGTCCCAAGGGAAGCTTCTGTGATGCAAGAATCATTAAAACTTCATAACAGTTTGTTGGGGTTTTTTTTTTCAGTCTACACCTGGACATATCGCATGTTACAGATGATCAACCATGTGCACAGAGATTAACGTTCACCAGCTGTCAAATGGTGGGAAAACAACAACATGGAAGGCAAGGGAAAACAATGCAACCGCGGCTGATTTCACAAAATATAGTTCAAGGTTTGCAAATGATTACGATGCTCTAACACTGATGGCAGAATAATTAACTGACACTAATCCCAGGTTTTATGAGGGAAAATAGCAGTTAGCATGCTAAAAGCTAAAGGTAAAAACATTCCTACATGGAAATAGCATTAGCAAGGCTTTTCTGATAGGCCCTTCCATTATCATTTATGATGCCAGGAATACACTCACTAACAGAGTTGGGGGAAACAAGGCACTCTATATGTGTAACAACCTTCACATAAAAGATATGCATCATCGAGCAAACTTTGACATGTCCACTGAAACAGTCAGTCTTCTTATGCTCACTATGAATATAATTTAATTTCTGTCACTTAGAGGACAAACCTTTTATTTTTGTGTACACTAACGCTTTGCAGTTGTAACATTTTTACAATTTAGATTTTTTATGTTATTGTCATGGCTAATTTGAGTGGTAAATTAAAAAAACAACACAATACTTCATGGTACCTTTCTCTGTTCCAATAGAAGGGTTAACTAGAGTGATGGATGGAGCTCCTTTAGTTTGTCCCACCATTGCCATCTGCGTTTTCCTTGAATATAGATATTTCCAACAAGCCAAAAGTGAGAGAAAAGCCTTTTTTTCTCAAGGCAGGAAAAGAGTCAGCTCTTGCATCAATAAAAAAAAAACTTAACCCCTTTCATATGGGATGATGGATTTTTCTTTTTTTTTTTTTAATTTTGAAATGCTAACTTTTTAAAAGTATTCTGATATTAGTAGCAGGTTCACCCCAAGCCAGCATAAAGACTGCTTACCCTATAATAAAGATGAACAATGATACAGTAGCTTCATTTATCTCACCCGAAATGTGATTTTATAATTCGACTTACCATGAGTGTCGTCCGACTGGTTAAAACCGCACAGCTGGCAGATGGAGCGGACCCACTTGTTCATCTCGTCCTCCGTCTCGGCGACGAGATAAAAAGTGCGATCTGACGTCTTGATGTCGAAAACAAAGCTGTCCTGGAACTCCTTCCTCTTGAAGGTCAGGCCAGCGTCCACCTGCTCGCAGCAGTGCAGGTCGATGACCCGGATGGGCTTTTTTGAGTGGTCGTTCTTGTAGTACTCGAGAACATCAGGGTCACCGCTCATTCGGCCACTCCGAAGTATAAACCAACGTTTCTTCCATGCCTGGAGTTTAAAAACAATAAGAGTGCAAGTTAATCATCACAAAAGAACTTCAGCACAGTCATTTATTAAAGCAGCATCTTTTTATTGCGAGCATTTCAAGAAATAAACACCGGTGGTTAAGTTAAATTCTTACTGTGCAAAAGGTGAAAGTGTTGCAATAACAACAGTCTCAACAGCTGGACGTGTAATCTGGTGTTTACTGTTGATCAAAAAGACCAAGGAGGAAAGTCTGCCTTTTTAAGCACATGTGGTTGTGTGTGGTTGGTGTCTGTCTAAGCGGCTGTGAGAGGAAGGGGGGACTAGCAGGTGTTTACTCCCTCCCAACGTATTTCCTGTGCAGATATCCCTCTCTGAGCGAAGAGAAGCAGCGCTCCTCCATGACAGCTTCTCTGAAAGACTGCAGACCCCTTCCGTTACCAGAACAGGATAAAAGACGATTCTGTGCTTCATTCGAATCCAGTGGTGTCAGCATATGGCCGCAAAATGTTTATCTCAGATAAAGAAACTGCATTTTATAGAGGAACATCCACATAAATTAAAATATCATTGAAAAAATAATTTCTTGGAAAAAAAAAACGAGCCTGGTTATGATATAGTTTATAAAACCCCAAATCCTGTTTTGTTTTGCTGTTGTTTTTTTGTCAAAGAAAATTACAATAATAAAGATCACCACTAAAAACAAGTATGCATGCAGGGCTGGGCCGAAGGATGAAATAGAAGAAGTAGTTAAATCCATCTCCTCTCTGGCTCATAAAGGGCAAGGATTAGGATCTCTCTCTGCCTGGTTTTCTGACTATATGTGAAGACAGAGATCTTATGAGGCATGGCAAAAGCAAATGAGGTGGATTAGAAGGGTTATTACAACTAATGCTCTCATCCAGCAAATGTTACTGTGGAATATCATCTCTGCAGCCTGGAAATCGAGCTGCTAGCATGTCATGACATTCAGGTCTTGCCAAACAGCAAGCTTCTTCAGTCAGGGGTCTCTTCAGATTAACTGCAAGACTGACTGCTATAGCATCAACATCCACAATGACTCTACCAGATTATCAATGACGCCTTCCACAAGGAGAATAAGTTGCAAAAGGTCATTTCCAGAGAAGCTATCTGTTAACAGATTCCTCTACCTAAGCAAATTAATGGATAAATTTGTGGCAAGAAAAAAAAAAGGGGTAAAAGGAACAAATGGCCTCGAGAGTATTGTGAAGTAAAGCTCGTTCCAGTGCACAGATCAAAGTCAGCATAGAAATTTGTAGAGCATTTTCAATCTCTCCTCTGCCAACAGGCTGTATAAGGGGACTGATTTCATTTTCCAGTAGGAGTTCACACTTGCTCTCAATGTCAAGGATACTAAAACCAGCATTAATGACCACATTATCAATTTTTCTTAAAATGTACCTGACTTAAAGCACATTGAGAATCTGAGAATTGTCAAGAGGAAATTGAGAGGCACAACAAAGCAGACAAACCAAAGGCTGATTTACAACAAACTATTAAAAGCATAAAGTGTCCACGACATAGACATGCTTTTCACCAGGCCAGCATTCATGCATTAAATCCTTTTTTATTGTTTCTATCAATGGTGGACACACTTCCACTAATATGCTAATAGTGGTGCTAATGTTTGCTAACTTTTGATTAGCAAAACATAAAAGAGTCAGCTTCCAGATAAATTCTAAAGTGCAAATTAATTGTCTGTTTTGTAAACTTTCACATGTGTAAAGTTTGACATCTGGATTGAAGTTTCAGTTATCAATAATTACTAATTCTTCAAGTAATAAGACATTTTCAGTGTCTAATTGCTTCACCCACACCAGTTCTGTTTCTTCACACTCCCTCTTGTTTTATCTCAAATAATATAATTTCAAACAAAATAAAACACGGACAGTAGAGAACAAAATATAAAGATAATATCCAAGGGCATAGAAGAACATGTGAATGTAAAGACTAAATTAAATTTGTGCATAGGTTGTGGTTCTTTTCCAGATTATCTGAGATGCTACACTTTTGGGTTTTAATGAGCTGCAAGCCATAATCATCCAAACAAACAGTAATAAATATAAAACATATCCATCTGTGTGTGGATTAACATATCACTCAATATATTTAATATATTGAGTCACTCCTGCTTCAAACCAAGAGCACCCCTGTATTTGATAATTAGACAGGCGCAAATGAAGAAGAGCAGTCTTCCATACTTAAGCTCCACATGGTTTTCTCTTTAGAGAGTCTGTTCTCTGTACTGCGACACAAAAGAGGAAGATAGACCAGGAAGGGAAAGGGTCGTAAAGGAGTGTTAAGGGGGGTTGGGGGTGTGTGGGCTGTTGGACACATGCCAGGGATGCACTTCCAGCAGGCAACATCTCACATAGAGGCTGCTGACACACAGAATCCTGCTGGACCCCCGTCTCTCCCTCCATAAACACAGACACTGCCATAAGGCGAAAACCTCCCCCCCCCCCCCCCCCCCCAAAAAAAAAAAAAAAAAACACCCTGCAAATATGATATTCCTAATCTCTTCTGGAAGTATGAGCGCAAATTTGTTCTATTTTGGGGGCCATTAACCTCAAGACGCAGAGATGAAATGAGTGATGGCTGAAGAAGCTTCCCTGGCTTCACTGCTCTGGTAATGTGTCTATTGGCAACCTGTCACCGTCTGTAGCTGCTCACAGGGACACCAGGAAAGACAAGAGCGGAATCCTGTATTTTCCTATCTATGTTCTGATAGAAAATATTTAAAAGCTACAGGGGACTAAGCTAGTAGAGTGTATTCTCAAGTCTGAAAACACATGAGAGAAGAAAAAATGAAGGAAACAGAATATGTTTGTTCGATACTAAGGATTGACTTACAGACCAAGGCAAAAGGAGCCTGGATGTCTCCCTGGATTCTCTCTTTGTTATGTGGATTTACTTTCACCTGGCTTTTACAGAAATAGGATGAAAGTAGCTGCCATCAAGGAACTTTTACCCAGATACTAAAACAAAAACATGCATCTAGAATACCACAGACTAGTGAGAGATGACAGTGTCACACAGGAAAGTCCGATTTAGCTCATGACTATATATATATTCATATTGTTAATGTAGAAATCCCAGGCTAAATAAGTCTTTTAGCAAAGCATTATGAACAATCTTTTGAGAACTGTTTTGACTTTCAAATAAGGCCATACTGATATAAAACTGACTGCCTGATTTGGTTGTGTTTTGACTATTTTCACTTTGTGACATTTTACCACCACTCAAGTAAACAAAAAAGTGATACACCAACTCTCCATAGACATGTATGACAAACATCAAAACTATAATATTTCTTTTAAAAAAGTTCTTAGGGAAATATCCCAAAGTATTTGAACTATACCAGCTCATCATTGGGAGAACTTTATGTACAGCCAAGAAAAATAAGAGGCTTGATTTTGGCATTTTTTCATTGCTTTGTCCAGGCAACAATCCCAGAATTCTTGAAATTAAATCAGCACATTTTAAAATAAAATGTTTAGTATTGTCCCCCTGGCTATTAAACTGTCTTCATCTTGAGGCCTAAATTTTCCAAATAGGAGCTTCCTCTCTCCTGGAGACTCCTCCCACAGGCTAAACATTAACAGAGAGTCATTTACTACTTTTACACTCATTCAACACACACAAATAACATTTAACTACATATTAAACTAAAATTCAAACTTTTGTGCCCACAAGTATTTTTGGCATATCCATGTATGTACTTCTTTTAAAACACAGCCCATTATAGTCCTGGTAGTACCTGCTAGATGGTTTATGCAAGTACAACACAACAAAGCAACATACTTCTATTGTACTTTTAAGCTTCAACTAAACCCAAATAGTGTTTTACATTGCTAAGTCATGTGTTCATACTGTGTAAAAACTACTTAAGCTATACCCAAGAACAATTGGCACCAGGGTTCCTGACCCAACTCCCAATTACAAGCAATTCATGTAGCCGCAATTTGCACAGCCAGAGTTTTTTATTTTTATTTTTATGATGCATGGTTTCATTTGAACACGTTGTCAAACATGCCTTGCATTGTGCTCTCGTTTTTTCCTGACAAGGCAAGTGTTCTTCACCATTTACAATGACTGCTCCAGATAAAAAGGGACTGCATGTAGTGAAGTGATGCTCACAATCAAAGAAGGGTTTCCTGGAACCCTTCTTTCTGGTTCTAAGAAAGAAGGGCAGCAAATTAATTAAGATGAAAATGGATTAAAAATAAATCTGTTGCCAACAGAAAACACAGTTAAAGCCAGAGCAGGAAGCTTGAAGTAGTACTCAGAAGAAAAAAAAAAAACTCTCCTAAGAACAGCAACCCAAAAGAGCAACCTCCCATCTCTTCTGCAATAATTTGACTGACATTGCTGGTGTTTTACTTTTTATACTGACATAGATCATGTGCACTGTTGCCTCGTCAGCAAGAATAGCAGCTATTGGCTCCTCTAAAAGGAGCTGACATCATCACCTAATGTGCATATTTGGTTATGTGTGATCCAGGCAGTAGAAGAAAGGAGCATCAACACCGCCAAGACAGAAATGAAGGTTCCAAATATGCTTAGAACTACAAATGAACATAATTCAATAACATAAATAGTTTGCCTGAACCTACACTACACGAATCAGTTTTGTGTCATATCAAATTTAACCAAAAGACAGTAATCACTGGCACACACAGCAGAGGTGACTGAGGCCGTGTGTGTCGAGTAACTATGTCACCATCAGTTGTTAAAATTATGAATTCACTTTTTCAGCTCGTCATAACAACAATGCTCCTCCATTTTTCCGTTTTCAACTGTTTCTAGGGACGTTGCAGTGAGAAGTAGTTTGCCTGGTAAGCTCTGCAGACTCGCAGTTCCACCAAGTGTTTGCTAATTGCTGCTGCCGGCTGCTATGTTTTTGAGTAGGAAATAATATTATAACACGATATAAAGTTTAAAAGAGATGATTTTGCACAATACCCTTACCGTTAAAGAACTTGGGTCTGTTTCATGAAAGA